ATATATATATACATGTATATGTATATCTATAATAATAAAAGTGTAATATGCTAATTAGACCAGACGTCCTCGTCCTTCCAAACATCTTTCTGGATGACCTTCCAGATGAAGCCGGGGCTGCGAGGCAAGCCTGGGTTCTGGGTGCCTGCCATGGCCGGAGGGAAGCCTGGGTCCCAGGTGCCAGAGGGAAGCTGGTGCTGGCAGTCGGGGGAAGGAAGGCCTACTCTTGCATGAATTTTGTGCATCAGGCCTCTAGTGTATATATAATAGATATAGGTATAAGTATAGGTATAGGTATAGATATAGATATGGATATGGATATGGATATATGGATATGATATATGGGTATTAGAATGTCTATACAGAGATTCTGTGATTGTAGAAATGAAAAGACATGAATGGCTAAATGATGATCACAAAGGTACAGTAGGGTGTGTTTTAACTTGACATTCTGAACCTTCGGCCTCTCTGTTCAGTCAGTGAGCTGTTTTATGTCTCTTTCCTTATGCCCAGTTGGTCCCATTTCAATTTTGAATTTTCTTAGTATCTCTTAACTCACTTCTCTTTAAAAGCTATTTTGTAATAATATGTCATTTATATGTAAACTTATGACCTTTTCTTGTTTGCCATAAAAGAATGTTGATTGGTATGTATCAGCTGAAATACGTTTTTTTGTCATGCTACTAGGAGGTAAAGAGTCACTAATATGGTCTCTAAGTCCTAAAAGACTTTAATACTTCTTTGCTTATCTTTGATCAACTTGGTTATAGAACTCTAATTATATAAAAAATGTAACTATCATAATGTCAACCACATTTAACCTTCTTGATATCCCATGATTCTTTGCACTAAGGGCGCAAGGCCAGGTCTTTGCTGACTGCTTGATAACTGAATGAGTGATTATTCTCCTTGTTAATGGACAATGATATAGAAAACTCTTCCATATGTACAGAATATTAATGAGAAGCTGCACAAGCTGAGATAAGACTATAAGATGCTGCAAGCAATCACTTATAAGAACATTATAAAAAATATTACTCTTCAAGGATGTAGTCAGACTGGGGGGGGTGTCTCTGTGTGACGAATGAGGAGGAAAAAGGCAAGACACATTCTTGCCCACATGAAAATACAGAGTAATTTGCAATCATCATTTCTTCAATGGTTTCTATTATTTAGTATTTCATTTAAATTTTTAAAAAATAAACTTTGTGAGATAGCATTGCAGATGTTGACACTGGGAGGGGAAGCATCTTGCTTCCTTCTCAACCTCTTTAATGCTTTCTGTGCCAGGTACAGTGTGTCAAGCATTTGTCCTTCATGAAAAATACCACAGAAGTGATTGCTAAAGAAATTTCAACCAATCCCAGCAAACTGGCCAGTCCATAGCAAAGTTATTTCCCTCAATACTGGTTTTTAATTTGGGGTATTGTCTTTAATTGGAAAATTTAGGAAAGTCATTCTTGGTTGACATACTAAAAAGGAGAAATGCTCATTAGATAGTTTAATTCTCCAGTACAATTCACTTGGGCTCTATAAATAAGATCTCTGAATCAGTACTTTTTCTCTTTTTAGGGACTGCTTTGGGTGACCTTTATTTCCTTATCTGTAAATTGAAAGCATGGGAGTAGATCTGATGATCATGATTCATTCTTAGTCTCCTCCCTCACTCCTTCTCTCCCTCTCTCCCTCCTTCTCTCCCTCCCTCTCTCCCTCCCTCCCTTTTTCCCTCTCATCAGTGGAATTTCTCACTACAGCAGCTATTATCTACTTGTGTGGAGGTGAGAAGATGTGTGTAGTTTGGGAAAACAAATCCCACAGATGATCCTCCCATCAACATTAAAATCCATTAATTTTAAAAGTTTTTCCAAGCTCTGACATTTTGATTTACAGTCCTTATTCAATTTGGTAACTCTGGAGAATATACAAGGAAAGTCAATCATGTTTTTAACATTTATGATCTTTTTGGCTAAATTAACAGAATACAGAACTAAAAGGGCTGAAACAATGAGGACAATTTATTATCTCAGAACCAGATGAGGTTGGTTTTAGGATTATTTAGTTCAGTGGTTCAGTATTTTCATCAGAGCTATGACTTTCTTCCGTCTTTCTGCTCTGTCATCCTCAGCATCCTCAGTATTATAATGTCTCCCCTCTTGTTTGCAAGATGGCTGCAGCAGCTCCAGATAGCATATGCAGAAAAACAAAACAAAACACACGAGAGTAAGAGGAAGAGGGGGCATTTATTCTCATTTTAATTATGAAGAAAAACCTTCTCTAACCAAATTCCCTCATGTTCCACTGGCCAGAGAAGCGATAGTCACACACTCATTTCTTAAGTGCAAGAGAATATTCGGATGTTGATATCTGGCATATCCAGCTTCTATAGTGAGAGTTAGTTCGGCCTGAATAGGAGAAAGGGAGAGGGAAATGGATGTTGGGAAAGCAACTAATAGTGCCTGTCACATTGTCCTTTTTCCAACACTCATCTTAAGACTCACCCCTCCTTTATGTAGCCACTGGCTAATTAAAACTAAGTATTTAGCATAAATCAGGGCTTTTGTGGATTATCTGAATAATTAGAGAGGTTGTATGCCCAGAGCCCTTATTTTATTTCATCTAAAAGTTTAATGATAAATGGGCTTCCATTGCCCAAAAGGAGCTTCTCTGGTGCTGAAACCGGATATAATTTTTTTTTTTTATTGAATTGAGCTTTAGGAAAACAACTTAAAATGTACAAGGATTGTGATAAAGAGCAGCTTAAATTCTCAATTTTTTTTGGCTTTACAAATCTTCATCAACTACCAAAAATAAGACCAGATTAAAGGGGTATATGAATATTTAATGTAAAATTAGGAATATGTTGCTAAAAATCAGGAAAGAGTTTAGAGCTATGACCATGAATAAATTTTGAAATATCAGCTTACTTCTCTGCTACAACACTGACCTAAAGAAGCTTTTCTGTTTCCCCAGCAACCTCGCACAGCATTAGCTTGCTTCCCTCAGAGTAAATTAAATGTGATTTTCAAGTACTACACTTCATTATTTCAGAAATCACAATACCTAGCAGAAATAAGAACATTTCATAAATCATACTGGAGTTTATTTTTAAACCAGAGCAGAGAAAGTATTTATTTAGAAAAATATTTTTCTTTTAAATCTACTAAATTTTCAAGGACTTATAAATTATCTCCATGAGGAAATGATAAATAGGGCATTGTATGTATGATTAACTTATAATTCATTAGTGATTGCCTAATGATATTTTTAAAAAAGTATTAGTTACCAGGGACATGAGAAAGATAAAGGCCACATCTCAAATGAACCATCTAACGTCAAGCAAGATTAAAAGCTACAGAGGATGAAAATTGTGTTAGTGCTAACAAACATTTTCTAAAGTGAAATGTTAGCTACTTTTACCATATGTTAAAATTTTAAACATGTAAGATGTTGGTTATTGATCATCAATACTTTTGGGTAAATGAGTTTGAGATCATTTTTCTTTATTGTGGTAAAATACAAATAACAAAATATTTATTATTTTAACCATTTTAAAGTGAAAAATTCAGTGACATTGTTATGGTCTGAATGCATCCCTCAAAATATTGAAATCCAAATTTCCAAAGATGATGGTTTGGGAGTGAGGCCTTTGGGAGGTGATCAGGTCATGAGGATTGAGTTCTCATGAATGGAAATAGGACCTTATAAAAAAGCTCTGGAGAGGTCCCATAGGCCCTTCTACTATGTGAGGACAGTGAGAAGATGCAAGCTATGAACCAAGAAGAGGGCCCTTAGGAGAACACAACCATGCTGATGCCTTGATCTTGGACTTCTAGCCTCTAGAATCTGTGATGTTTTGTTATAACCACCAAAACAAAGACAAGGATTTAATATATTCACAATGTTATACAACCATCACCACTACCTAGTTCTAGAATTTTTTTATCACCACAGATGGAAACCCCATGATAATTAAGCAGTCACCTCCTAATGTCTTCTTCCCCCAATCCCTGCCAACCACTAATCTGGTTTGTGTGTCCATAGATTTGGCTATTCTGGATATTTCACATAAGTGGAATCATACAATATGTGGTCTTTTGTGACTGGCTTCTTTCACTTAGCATGTTTTCAAGGTGAATCCATGTTGCAGCATGCATCAGTACTTCATTCCTTTTAATGGCTGAATAATATTCTATTATATTGCTATTCCACATTTTGTTTATCTCACCATGAGTTGTTGGACATTTGTGTGTTGTTTTAACCTTTTGGCTATTATGAAGAGTGCTGCTATGAACATTAATGTATACATTTTTGTGTGGACCTGTTTTCATTTCTCATATTTATTTACCTAGAACTAAAATCGTTGGGTCATAATAGTTGAAGTTTAAACATGCAAGCCAGGATCTACACATGAAGGACATGAAGATCCTCATGTAAGTGGTAGAGCTTGGGTAAGAGTGGAAAGAGAAGAGGAGTAGTTTGGGGACAAGGGGCTGGTGCTCCCCTCACTGCCACATTCTGACCCAGCGCTCCCAGGAATTTGAGAATTCTATATTTGAAACTGGTCTTCTGCAAAGTTGCAGGTGTTTCTGTTTCATTTTACCAGAATTCTCAAGACATATTTTTTTTTGTATAAGGCGCACCTAAAAGGAATCTAAGTGGCCCGGCCAGCGTGGCTCAGTGGTTGAGCATAGACCTATGAACTAGGAAGTCACGGTTCGATTTCCGGTCAGGGCACATGACCAGGTAGCAGGCTTGATCCCCAGTGTGGAGCATGCAGAAAGCAGCCAATCAATGGTTATCTCTCATCATTGATGTTTCTATCTCTCTCTCCCTCTCCCTTCCTCTCTGAAATCAATAAAAATATATAATAAAATAAAATAAAGGGAATCTAAGTGTTTCTCTTATAAAAGATCATATCTCACAAACTCCTCTTGATCTAGGGGAAGAGTTATCAATTTTCATATTGCTACTAGAGAAAGGAACATGGTCACATCGTCAGGATGGGTAGGACAATGGGTGGCAAAGCCAGAAAGTGACTCAAGTCTCTGGCCTCCTTGTTCAGTGAGTTGGCCATTAGGTAGCATATTTTATTCTTCCTGCCCAAGCACATTGGCCTTGAATCAGAAGTCTACATGAATAACAGCCCCAGAACTATATTTTTCAGAGACAGGTAGATAAGTTGAACAATTCTACATTGTTTTCCTAAAAACAACACATTTTTCTTGTTTGAGTAAAACGGAAAATCCCATTCTAGCTATCACAAAATTAAAACTCTGCCCTGATAACTTTAAGCTGATATTTAGCTTAAAATAGGGACAGAATAATTTGTTCTTCAATGTTCTTCTATAAAGTCTCTTTTCTGCTGTATTTACTCCCACTTAGGGTTATTGAAGTCACAGATAACTTTTCTTTGGTCATTTTTAGTTAATTTCCTATTTCACAGCCTTCCAAACCCATGGATTTCTGAATTTGTCAATTTTAAATGGGATTTCCTTGGTCTACTCAGGACTTTCATAGAAAGCTTCCTGTTCTGCTGTGACCTTGAAGAATAAAAGGGTTCCTTGGTCAATGATGAGATGACACCATTACAAATTAGCTGAGTCGGTGTGAGTCCTTCATAAGGCCTGAACTACACTAGTCTAAGCTGGCCTTGAATGAATCCCTTGTCCCTGACACTTTCATAAAGAAAGATTGTGTTGATCAGTTATTAATGCCAAAGACACATGTCTCTTAAAGCAAAATAAGGTAAAAAAACAAAACAAGTACCTCATTTATCTATTCATCATACATGTTTTTGGGCCCAGCCCTTCACTAGCATATGGGAATCTAGAAGATGAACAATACAAGTCTCTGGCATTTCCTCTGTCCAAACGAGGAAAACCCTTCAAGATCATGTCGTTTAACAGATGAGGGGACTAATACTGATGTTCTCAGCTACAGAGTCCAGGCTAGGACTAATTGGTTCTTTAATGCTCCTTCTACCATATGACCACCCTGATGCCTGGGTTTAACACAGAGGATTAAGATAGCTCAATCACGGGACACCACATAGGCTATCTGCATATGATTTTGGAAGCTGGGAAGCACATGCCCAAGTATGTGAGCAGGGCACATGTTCTAAACCTGTTGACTTCAGTGGTATTCTTCCTCTTCAAACAAGCTATAAATTTGGTGAGCTGAGTATACTCTCTGTCTCACTGAATCTTAACCAGATTGCCTTGGCATCCTGGAGTATCACAGTCTTTTACAGCTATATGATCATATTTTGATCAACATGTGATATCTTTTTTGCCATGGCTGAGGTTCAACACTATTGGGAGAGGTCTGCCAGATGAGGCATGAACTGCATAAGTGAGGACTTGGGAGTACCATTGGTCATGTGTATAAGTAAGAAGTAGAACATAATTTCAGCACCAAGGAAAGGTAGTGTGATACCTAGGAAATGTAAGAATTTGGCTTAGAGAGTATTTGAGAGAGCATAAATATCAGGGTAGTAAACAGTTCTAAACAAAGAGCCACATAAGTGTGCAATAATTGTGTATATTCCTAAATATAGAGAAAAAGTCATTGTGAGGTCATTACCATCCACATGCATTGGGCTATTTTGAATCGTTTAATCACTTTAAGTATACTGTCTAAAATACAATATTTGTCAATGTGACTTGTTCACAGAACAGCTGAGAAATGCTATTCTAGTGAAACCTGCTTCTGCTTGCTGAACTATTGTTGAAGACTTAGAGAAAGTGTCAAGAGTGAATTCAGAGGAGAGAGAAATCTTTTCTGACTGGGATAATTAGGGAAGACTTTGTAGACAGGGTGGTATCTGAGGTAGATTTTGAAATCAATTGCACAAGTATAGGATGGAAGAGATGAGCTTAGCAACCCATGTGAAAAGGGCTCAGGATTTTATCCCATAGTAAGCCCATGAATTGTGTATTCCATAAAATGTTACTACACCTATATTGGAGGAACTGTGCTACGCGTTAGAGTTAGGGAGCTTAGTTGTGCCCTGGACATTCTCGCAGTTTAGTTGGGGGAAGATGTGGTAATAGAGAGCTGTTATATAAGTGAAACTACCTGCTCATTTGGCACCTGAATGCAAATTAGAAGGCCTGGAGCATAGGGTAGGGCTCAAGACCAGTAAGCATGTGTTGAGAATTGAGACTGGGGCCATGGGCAGAGGCACAATCATGGCGGGTCTTGTCCAACATTTTAAAGAGTTCATACTTCACTATATATGAATCAAGAGTGTAAGATAAGATTGTCCAAGAATTTCCCATATTTCTACCATTTCAAGATACCATCCATTGCTGACAACTTGCATCCTTGATCCAAAATGATTGCTGTTGAAAAGATAAAATGATCCACATTAAATATAGGGTGTACCCCCAAAATGTATACATACACTTTGAATAATTATAAAGGCAGTGTTTAATAAAATATATTTCATTTTCAAAACCATAGAGTTGATCTTTAAAGCTGAAGATTTGCTGCCAGAAACAGCTTCGCTCACTGAGAACCTGGAATTCAGTAAAGAAGAAGCACCCACAGTGAGAACACTTAAATCACAGTCATCTTTAAGTGGGAAGCCTAAGTAACAGTGCCCACTGAACCTGGCTCCACACTATACATCTTATCCTATATAATAAAAGCCTAATATGCTAAGTGTCTGGTTGGCCATTCAACCAATCAAAGCATAATATGCTAATGATATGCTAAGGCTGCTCAGCTGCTTGCTATGGCATGCACTGACCACCAGGGGGAAGATGCTCCGACTGGTAGGTTAGTGGCTGCTGGGGTCCAGCCAATAAGGACTGAGAGAGAGGCTAGACACACCCTGGAGCCCTCCTTCAGTCCCTCCCCAGCTGGCCAACCTCCCGTGTCCTTCCCTGGCCCCGATCATGCACCGGTGGGGTCCCTCGGCTTGGCCTTTGCCCTCTCGCAATTTGGGACCCCTCGGGGGATGTCAGAGAGCCAGTTTCGGCCTGACAGTGGAATGACCAGTCGCTATGATGTGCACTGACCACCAGGGGACAGATGCTCAATGTAGGAGCTGCCCCCTGGTGGTCAGTGCACTCCCACAGGGGAAGCGCTGCTCAGCCAAAAGCTGGGCTCATGGCTGGTGAGCACAGCGGCGGTGGCGGTTGCCTCACCCGCCTCTGTTGCAGTGCTAAGGATGTCCAACTGACAGCTTAGGCCTGCTCCCCATCAGTCGGACATCCCCCAAGGGCTCCCAGGCTGCAAGAAGGCACAGGCCAGGCTGAGGGACCCACCCGAATGCACGAATTTTGTGCACCAGGTCTCTAGTAAGAACATAAAAAGAAGCTCCTCACAAACCTCATTGGATACCATTTCACTTGACAGCATGATATTGGAAGAACAGTTGTTAGAAAGTGCTGAAAGTGAGAGTTTTCTGGGAAAAGGTATTAAAAAGAATTCAGGTACCAATGATCAGAACCCAGCAGATAGTGCAAATGCCACTGCAAACCTACAGAATTATGGTGAAACCTCTCCAGATGCCATCAGTACGAATTCAGAAAATGCTCAAGAAAACCATAATGGCCTGATGTCAGTTGTGATGTTTAAAATTACTGGTGTTAATAGGGAAATTCACATCTGAGGGGAAGATACAGAAATCTGTCTTCCAGTAGACCAAGTGACACCAGATCAGTTAGGCAATATCAGTCTTCAGCATTACCTTTCCAATCATTCAGTAGGTTCTGATCATAAAGCTGTTATTCATTCCAAATCCTCTCCTGAGATTATTCTGAGATTTGAAAGTGGTTCTGGTGCTGTAATACACTCTTTGCTTGCAAAAAGAAATGGATTTCTACAATGCCATATAGAAAACTTTAGCACTGAGTTTCTTACATCTTCTCTTACGAATATTCAACATTTTTTGGAAGATGATACTGTTGCAACAGTGATGCCAATGAAGATACAAGTTTCTAAAACAAAAATAAATTTAAAAGATGAGAGTCCTCGTGCTAGTACAATATCCCTTGAACCAGCTCCTATAGCCATTCACATTGACCATCTTGTGGTAGAGAGAAATGACAATGGCTCTTTTCCTATCAGAGATTCTCAGATGCTTAACACTGGGAATGATTTGAAAGAAAATCTCACAAGTGAATCATTTCTGCTTTCCAGTGGAAAGTATGTTCTGAAGAAACAGCACAGTGTCACTCAAGCCACTCAGACAAGTCCAGAGGCGCCTTGGCCTTCTCAGTCAGTTCACTTTCCTGAGCACTCCTTCAACTTCACTCGGGACCAGCTCATGGAAGAGAATGAATCTCTTAAGCAGGAATTGGCTAAAGCTAAAATGGCTCTTGCAGAGGCTCACCTGGAGAAAGATGCTCTTCTTCATCATATAAAGAAGATGACAGTTGAATAGCAGGAGTGGCAGTCAAAACCCAAATTATAGCTCTGGAGTCAGGAGGTTATATTTATAATGAGATGTTACCAACGAGTTGGGAGAATTTCCTTTTCATGAAAAGACAATAAAATGAAATGGAATGTGATGAAATGGTGACTAGTCCAAAGCCAGTTTAGGAAGTATTAGGTACGGGCATTACAATCTTTTGGTTGTTTTGTGTTTGGGATTTAACCTTCTTTTAAACTGGTGTGATATAGAGAAGTCAACACATACTGTAAAGTAATTACATGCCTAATGAAGATGTCATTTCCTAATGTTGATATCACACTATAGGCATTTTTTTTTTAAAAAATGTAAACCTATTGTGTTCCACAAATTGTTGAATTTATCACTCTGTTAATGATTACTATGATTTACAAAGATTCAAGTGCTCTTAGGGCTAATCTATCTATATATATATATATAAAGATAATATGCAAATTAGCTGGGATGCTGTAACAGTCACAACTGCTCAGGAGGAGGCTGCACGCACAGGTGGGTGGGAGGGGACTGCTGCATGGTGAGGAAAGCCACGGTGGTGCAGGCCTGCAGAGAGCAGGGCAGAGCAGGCCCTCAGAGAGCAGAGAGCAGAGCCTGCCTGCCAGCTGCGGTGAGCAGGCAGGCCCACAGAGAGCAGAGCAGAGAACAGGGCCTGCCCACAGAGAACAGGACCTGCCAGCCAGGGCGCGCCAGCAGTCCTGCCTCTGCATGTGAGCTGCAGAGGAAACACCTTTTCTGACTGCTCATTGGTTAGGCTCCCGATAGGCCACTCACAGTGTTCTTGGTAACTTGCGTAATAAGAATCCAAGAAGGTGATCTTGGGTTTTTCTACCTCACTCCTGGAGGAAAAAACAAAGGTCTGCTGCTGGAGGGGCTAAGAAATGTTATATCCTGCCCCAGCTAGTTTGGCTTAGTGGATAGAGCCTTGGCCTGCTGACTGCAGGGTCCGGGTTCAATTCTGGTCAAGGGCATGTACCTAGGTTGCAGGCTCCTCCCTGGCCGGGGTGGCCGGCAGTGGCAGCAGCAGCAGGGTGATAAGGGCAGTGCCTTCCCCTGATCAGCCCTGTTGCCTCCTGCAGAGGGAAGCCAGACTGCGGCTTAGGCCCACTCCCCGCGGAGAGTGGGCCAAAACCGTCTGTAAGACATCCCCTGTGGCCTCCCGGATCAGAGAGGGTGCAGGTAGGGCTGAGGGATGCCCCCCCCCCCGCCCCGGTGCAGTTGGACATCACTCTTGACATTCTGGGACCACTGGCTCCTAACTGCTTATCTGCCTGCCTGCCTGATTGCCCCTAACTGTCCTCCCCTGCCAGCCTGATCTCGCCCCTAACTGCTCTCCCCTGCTGGCCTGATTGCCCCTAACTGCCTCTGCCTGCCTGATCACCCCTAACTGCCCTCCCCTGCAGGCCTGAACTCGCCCTCAACTGCCTTCCCCTGCCAGCCTAGCCGCTCCCAACTGTGCTCCCCTTCCGGGCTGATCACCCTCAACTGCCTCTGCCTCGGCCCCCACCACCATAGCTTTGTCCAGAAGGAAGTTGGACATCCGGAAGATGGCTGGTAGACCTGGTCTAATTAGCATATTACACTTTTATTATTATAGATAGATTATATAGGATAGTATTGCTTAAATGGGGGGGGACCTTTTTCAGCAGGAGGAGATGCTCTTGGCAGACAAAATTACATAATCCCTATATCTGGACTGATAGCCAGCCATATGCACTATACTGCCAAACTGGTCATTAAAAAATTGAACTGCTTTTTTACACCTTACACCAAACAGCTGTTGCCCTTAAAACCCCTCCTCAGCCCCCACCTTCACAGTTCACCCAGATTAGGTTCTGATTGGTCAGTTTCTATGCCAGTCAGCATCAAAAACTCTGCCTCCTAGGCAGCCATTGGCTCCTCACAGTTCACCCAGATTTAGTTCTGATTGGTCAGTTTCTATGCCAGTCAGAGTCAAAAGCTCCGCCTCCTACGCAGCCATTGGCTCCTCACAGTTCACCCAGATTTGGTTCTGACTGGTCGGTTTCTATGCCAGTCAGCATCTCTGGGCCTTTCTCCAGGCCTGATCAGAGAGGCGGGGCTGATCAACAGCTGCCCCAGGCCGCTGGCGAGTGGGCTGAACTGCTGATCTCTCAGAGCGAGAGAGAGGCTGGGCTGCTGGCGAGGCCCAGAGAGACAGAGAGAGGCAAAGGCTGATCAGCAGCTGCCACGAAGGCTGAGGATCAGACCCTGGTTCTCTCTCCAGGCCTCATCAGCAGCCGCGGCAGCTGCTGATCAGCCCCGCCTCTCTCTCTCTCTCTCTCCAAGAGGTCAGTAGTTCAGCCAGCTCACCAGTACCCACCCACCCGAGCCTGCTGCGCACGCAGCCTGGTGTCCAGTTGTCCCTTCAGTCACTTTGGACATTATGGACCCTGGCTCTTTATATATATAGATTCCTTAGTACAGTACCTGGCACATGGTTAGCATCCAATAAACTTCAGCTATTCCCAATAAATGGTAGCTAGTGTTGATGTAATTATTGTTATTATTTGAAATAATTTTATTTCAATAACACCATTAATCTCTCAGGAGGAAATTCTGTCTCTCATGACCAAGGCTATGAAGGAGTTTTTCTGTACCTTTATTCAAGCTGTGAAGTTACATGGCTATGCTGCTTTTACCCATAGCACACTGAATACTGACCTATTCAGGCATTTTTTTTTTCTTTAAAGAGTACGAATAGGGATAACAAACAGAGTGGAAATGATTACCATAATTTTTATGGTTTCAGTTGACAAAGAAGTTTATACTTAATATTTGTATTTTGACAAAATAATATACCCATATTTTCCCCAATTTAAAGCAGTCTCAAGAAAGAGAGAACAGACAATGCAGTCTCCCCTTAAAAAGTAAGTGTGCCATCAAATTGGCTAAATGTTTAAAATACAGGGATGGGCAAAAATAGGTTTATAGTAACTAATTTATAGTACAAGGATAAAGTCTAGTTCACATACTCACAACTGTAAACGTACTTTTGCCAACCCCTGAATATATAGAAGGCATGGATGTATTCATAGAATAAGTCAAGAATTTGCCACTTTTGGAATGCTAAGCATCAGGGAGAGATAAAGGGTGCAGTAACAACTACAGTGCTGGGAATTGTGCAAATTCTACAACATGTGATATTCTATAGTAAAATAGAAGAAGCATTAGTTTCCCCTTGGTGAGTCTGTCCTTGTCACTAATATCTGTAAGTTTCTTTTTTTGGCAGATAGTTGTTAGATTAGGAGAGACAGTTGGCAAAGATGCCCCTTCAGATTTAAATAGCAGATAACATGTAAATTGAAAGTGGGCACAAGCATATTTTGATAAAGTGATTTTAGGAGATTTTATCCCATTACTTTTTCCAGCAATCAATTTCTCTAAGCTTTTTTTCTTTCCTCCTAATAAAAGCAGCTGGAAATAGGTTGGTTATGTTCAGTATTTTTAATTACAACCTACTCTGTGTTTTTGTACACTACTGAATTGTATTAGGCAAACATACTGGCAAAATCCATTTGGCTTACGTTTTAGCTAACTTTAATTTTATAGGAATTGAGAACAATTTTTTTAGGCTTTGGATAATATAAACTACCAACCAAGATGTCAAATTTATCATGTGATGCTTTATTCTTTTTTCTTTCCAGGCTGAAAGTTGTCTCGAATTTCCAAACTTTCTATAGCTCTTGCAAGGGAGATCATTGAAGTCAGTGAAGATACTGAGAAGTACAAATTGGCAGTTACAAAATAGCCATGGGGATGTAAAGTACAGCATAGGGAATACAGTCAGTAATATTGTAATAACTATCTACGGTGCCAGTTGGGCACTGGAGATATGATTGTCTAACCACCATACTGGACATCTGAAACTAATACAAAATAATACTGAAAGTAAAGTGTAACTGAAAAAAATTTAATTAAAAATTAATCCATATTTTATAAAGTAAAAAAAATGAAGTGGAGACTTAAAACTTTTAAGTTCTGGTTATTAAAATGGTCACATATTTTTTATCTATGTAACATGAGGTGGACAGTTGAGGTTCAACTACGAGGGATGAAAAGTCCCATACTTACCTCAATTATTTTGTTTACAGGCTTGCTTACTTTTCCTCTTGGAATGTCATGATCTGGGCTTCACTCAATCAAGGCTAAGTTTACTTTTTCTGAGCTATAAAGTATTCAGCTATGCTGTCTGAATGTAGTGTCTTTTTCTAGATATATTTCAGTATTTTACCTTTATAGTGGGAATACCTAGCAAAACTCATAATAACTACCTACATTCCCAGAAAACAATGCAGTTAGCAAACATTTAGAATTTTGAAGCAACCTATATAATGATGCCTTAAAGTGCAAGTTGCTAGTATTTCTGTAGCTTTGATTTTATTCTCCACCATAAAAAAGGGAAGATAATTGAAATTAAAAGTGCCTGACTTTGATCTATGTTTGAATAATCCTTGAGGCATTTATTGTAATTAAGGGGACTGACTTTGGTGCTCTTCCATTCATCCCAGTTTCCAAATAGGAGTTTTCTTTCTCTTTTTTTGCATTACAAAAGAAAGGGTGGGAAATTAGTAGCGATTCACATATACACTTCTTCCTGCCATTTCTTCTGCCTGTTTGCCAAAGTACAGCACTGAGCAAAACAGGAAAGTATTGCTCAAAAATATACAAATGATGAACTTAATATAACAGAGAGTCTACATTACCTGCAGCTTTGGAACAGAGCTATCAGCCCACACTGACTAGGGAGTTATTTCCTCACATTATTTTAATATGAAACAGTATGAGTGACAATCTGCAATAGAGAAGCGACTGCCACTGAGGAGACCCCAGTACTACAGAGGTACCTTCTGCTATTGATGCTTGCAATTGTTTCTTTTTAAAGGGAATTGTACTTTTTCAAAATGATGTTTCAGAAAGATATTGAGAGTGTTAAAAATGAGTTCTTCTATTTTTGTATGAAGTAACAGATGAAAAGATGAGTAATCAGTGATAAAA